ACAAGTGTGAGGAGCGTTCTTCCCACTGACCACAAGTGTGAGGAGCGTTTCTTCCCAATGACCACAAGTGTGAGGAGCTTTCTTCCCACTGACCACAAGTGTGAGGAGCGTTCTTACCCCACTGACCACAAGGTGTGAGGAGCGTTCTCCCACTGACCACAAGTGTGAGGAGCGTTCTTCCCACTGACCACAAGTGTGAGGAGCGTTCTTTCCCACTGACCACAATGTGAGGAGCGTTCTTCCCACTGATCACAAGTGTGAGGAGCGTTCTTCCCACTGACGCACAAGTGTGAGGAGCGTTCTTCCCACTGACCACAAGTGTGAGGAGCGTTCTTCCCAATGACCACAAGTGTGAGAGCGTTTTCTTCCCACTGACCACAAGTGTGAGAGGAGCGTTCTTCCCAATGACCACAAGTGTGAGGAGCGTTCTTCCCAATGACCACAAGTGTGAGGAGCATTCTTCCCACTGATCACCAATGTAAGCATTCTTACCCACTGACCACCAATGTAAGGGACATTCACTTCCCACTGACCACCAATGTAAGGGACATTCTTCCCACTGGTCACAATGTAAGGGACATTCTTCCCCCTCTGATCACAATGTAAGGAGCATTCTCCCACTGATCACAATTTAAGGAGTCACCAATGTAAGGGACATTCTTTCCCACTGATCACAATGGAAAGGACATTCTTCCAAATCTCCCACTGATCACAATGTAAGGAGCATTCTTCTCAATGACTCATCACATGAATTGTTATCATGTTGTAGATAGTAATTTTTGGCACTTTTTTTTCCTGAGACCGAAAAGTCATGTCAAGGGTTCCTCTATGTTGATAAGGTTGGGAAAGGAGAAACAAAAGTAGTGGACATTCTAAAAACTGTTTTTATTGCCCCACGATATTACGGCAAGGGTCTAGGAAACAAAATGTCAGCTTAAAAAAAACCCCACTAATTTTAGGTTAGGTTGTACCGAGTGAATAGATACCTAACATATCAAACCTTAAATATGCATGCGCCCCGTAAAATGGCGACGCTTTAAAGGCCCCCCTATAGGTCATCAGTTTAGTGGAGGAAGTCTGATGCTAGAAATACTGCTTTCACTCTGGCGCAGGGGCGGACTGACCATTTGGAAACTCGGGGCTGCCCGAGGGTCCAGGGTCAGGGGGCCCCATGAGATGCCCCTGGTACCTTTTTCATAGAGCTTTTTTTTGAGTTTAGGCAAGTACACAGGGGCCCCATAATCCCCCTTATTGCCTGGGGGCCCCATGAATTGTCAGTCCGCCCCTGCTCTGGCGTGTGCGACGATATATATAACCTGTTTCATGGATATGTGCCTCCGACGCATGTTGTTTACATTTGTACAAGTGTAATGGGGGGAGGGGGGGGGGCAATTTTATGTGCCTGGGTGTAACAATATTTTTAACAATTCAAAAAAAAATTTTTTTACTTAACTTTTTTTTTTTTCCCCGCTATGTGATGATTTTTTTTTTTTTTTGGTGACAGGTTCTCTTTGACTCCAAGTGGTACTCAAATATGCAGCCTCTCTGGGCCTTGGCGCGGTTTGGCCTTATATTTGCATATTCGATGTAAACAGACATGGCAAGAGCATTGCGCGCTCCCGACGCCTCACGGAAAGCAACTGGCGATCTGGAGCTTTCTGATCACGTGACAACCAATCACGGCAGTCACATGACCCTAAACCCCAACCCCGCCTCCTGGCATCAGAAACCCCTTAAAGAGCCAGGAGACTCCGGCACCGAGGGGTTAATGAGACATCCAGGGTCTAAAAGACCCTGGACGTCTCCCTTTTACTCCACTGAATCCCTTTTAACCCCCTCCCTTCGGGAGATGCACCCTCTCTATTAGTGAAAGTAAAAGAGAGAATTCCAAATTGTTGGTTGTCCCCAGATAAATAATAGAGGGGAAATCGTCCAATGGGGACATTAGTTCTGGTAACCTGGGGAGTGGGATGCACATGGGATTCTTTTAATTTGCAGGGATTTCCCTTCACTTCCTGTTTTGGCTGTGAGACAGGAAGTGAAGGGAAATCTTCCCAGTGGGACCCAATGTCAAAAAAAATTTGAGAGGTTCTGGCCCTCCCTTTTTAGTTCTATTAAAAGGTAAAGACGTAAGGAGCGACTGGGGGATGGCATCCCATCAAATCACGGATTTCTTCTATGTACTTTGTATTGTACTTCTCTATAGTGTTGGACTTTTTTTTCATTCCCCAGCCTTACTTTATATGTCTTCCCATACAATCTGTGTATGTACAGTGCCTTGAAAAAGTATTCATACCCCTCGATATTTTACACATTTTGTCATGTTACAACCAAAAATGTCAATGTATTTTATTGGGATTGGATGTAATAGACCAGGGGTGGGCAAACTTTTTGACTTGAGGGCCGCAATGGGTTCATAATTGGACCCGGGGGCCGGAAAGTAGATGAATGATGTGTATTGTTCCATAGTAAGTATAGTAATATTCCCCCATAGTAAGCAAGTAATTCATCCCCATATATAGTAATTCATCCCCCCTATAGTAATTCACCCCCCCTTTGTAATTCACCCCCCCTATAGTAATTCATCCCCCCTATAGTAATTCACCCCCCCTATAGTAATTCACCCCCCCTGTAGTAATTCACCCCTGTAGTAATTCACCCCCCTGTAGTAATTCATCCCCCCTGTAGTAATTCATCCCCCCTGTAGCAATTCATCCCCCCTGTAGCAATTCATCCCCCATATTAATTCATCCCCCATATTAATTCATCCCCCATATTAATTCATCCCCCATATTAAGTCCCCAAGTCCCCCCTGTGTCAATTCACTTACCTTTTGCTCCGCGCGTTCCTCTCGCCGTATCCCGCGCCGTTCCGGTGTAGCATGAAAATCTTCTCCTATGAGGATCTTTCCCCCTCGACGTATCTGCGCATGTGCCAGTTTCAGGCATTAGCAGCCCGATCGGCGATCTCCGGCACATGCGCAGATACGTCGAGGGGGACAGATCCTCATAGGAGACAGATTTTCATGCTACACCGGTCTTCAGGGCGGGACTGTGAGAGGAGCCTAGCTCCGCGGGCCGGATTAAAAGGTCCGCGGGCCGTGGCCGTAGTTTGCCCATTGCTGTATAGACCGACACAAAATGGCACATAATTGTGAAGTGGAAGGAAAATAATGGTTTTCTTTTTTTCTTTTTTTTTTTTTATTACAAAAGCATTTGTATTCAGCCCCCCGGAGTCAGTACTTTGTAGGACCCCCTTTGGCTGCAATTCCACCTGCAAGTCTTTTTGGGGATGTCTCTTTGCAAATCTAGAGAGGGACATTTCTGTCCATTCTTCTTTTGAATCCCTCAAGCTCACTGGATGGAGGGCGTCTGGGAACAGCAATTTCTAAGTATTGCTACAGATTCTCCATTGGATTTGGGTCTGGACTGTGACTGGGCCATTCTAACCCATGAAGATGCTTTGATCTGAACCATTCCATTGGAGCTCTGGCTGGATGTTTCGGGTCGTTGTCCTGCTGGAAGGGGAACCTGGTCTCAAGTCTTCTGCAGACTCTAACAGGTTTTCTTCTAAGATTGCCCTGTATTTGGCTCCATCCATCTTCCCATCAACTCTGACCAGCTTCCCTGTCCCTGCTGAAGAAAAGCATCCCCACCACATGATGCTGCCACCACCATGTTTCACGGTGGGGATGGTGTGTTCAGGGTATGACAGTGTTAGTTTTACCTCACACATTGTGTTTTGCTTTCAGGCCAAAAAGTTGAATTTTGGTCTCATCTGACCAGAGCCCCTTCTTCCACATGTTGGCTGTGGTCCCCCACATGGCTTCTTACAAACTGCAAACGGGACTTCTTATGGCTTTCTTCCAACAATGGCTTTCTTCTTGTCACTCTTCCATAAAGGCCAGATTTGTGGAGTGCACAACTAATAGTTGTCCTGTGGACAGATTCTCCCCCTGAGCTGTGATCTCTGCAGCTCCTCCAGTTCCCATGGGCCTCTTGGCTTCTTCTCTGATGAATGCTCTCCTTGCCCGGCCTGTCAGTTTAGGTGGACGGCCATGTCTTGGTAGGTTGGCAGTTGTGCCGTACTCTTCCCATTTCAGATGATGGATTGAACAGTGAGACGTGAGATGTGTTCAAAGCTTGAGATATTATTTTAACCTAACCCTGCTTTACACTTCTCCACAACTTTATCCCTGACCTGCCTGGTGCCTTCCTTGGCCTTCATGATGCTGTTTGTTCACTAATGTTTTCCAACAAACCTCTGAGGGCTTCACAGAACAGCCGTATTTATACTGAGATCACGACACCGGTGGATTCTATTTACTAATTAGGTGACTTCTGAAGGCAATTGGTTCCACCAGATTTTAGTTAGGGGTATCAGAGTAAAGGGGGCTGAATACAAATGTACATCCAATTTTCAGATCTTTATTTTTAAAACATTTTGAAAACCATTTCTCATTTTCCTTCCACTTCACAATTATGTGCCACTTTGTGTCGGTCCATCACATCCAATCCCAATAAAATACATTGACGTTTTTGGCTGTAACATGACAAAATGAGGAAAGTTTCAAGGGGTGTGAAGACTTTTTTTCAAGGCATTGTATACTTTACGTAAGCTGTGAAATAGAAGGATCATATGATCTATATGTCTAGCTAAGAGTTGGTTGCTGGGTGTTCCTTCCCTTTATATCTGTTTATAGGTGACTTCTGGTGTATACTTGGTATCAGTAGGCGGTATATCCTCGTAGTGGAGGGTTATGTCTTTCTGACAGGGACACGGGAGGATCCGATGGGTGTGATGTTACCTGGCTCAGGACGTGGTTTAGGAAGGGAGGGTTATGAAGCTTCCAGTCTTACAACACTCCAGTCACGTTGGGTAAGCTGCTCTGCCCTTGTTTTATTGACATGGAGGACTTGGCATTTGACATCTGAGGATGTACAGGGGGGTTGGACAATGTTGTGGAAACAGGTAAAAGAACGAAATTGTTACTTAACCACTTCCCGTCCGGCCCATGTATATAAACGGCCGGACGGTGACAGTGCAGGGTCGGGTTGCCGTTTATAAATGGCGCCCGCCGTTTTGGATCGTGCGCGCTCCCTGGGAGTGCGAGGCACCGAGATCCGGTGCCCGCTGTGTCCTCCGAAAAACCGATCGCTGTACGGGACCTCTGTGTGCAGGGTCGGGTGGCTGTTTATAAACGACCTCCCCGCCCCCTGCTTGTGCGCGTTCCCTGGGAGCGTGCAGCACCGCGATCTTCTGGACACAGTGGAACACCAAATGTCGTACGGGACCTCTGTATATAAACGCCGGACGGTGGCAGTTCAGGGTCGGGTGGTCATTTATAAACGGCCTCCCCGCCCCCTGCTTGTGCGCGTTCCCTGGGAGCGTGCAGCACCGCGATCTTCTGGACACAGTGGAACACCAAATGTCGTACGGGACCTCTGTATATAAACGGCCAGACGGTGGTAGTGCAGGGTCAGGTGGTCATTTATAAACGGCCTCCCCGCCCCCTGCTTGTGCGCGCTCCCTGGTAGCACGCAGCACTGCGATCCGGTGCCCGCTGTGTCCTCCGAAAAAAACCGATCGCTGTACGGGACCTCTGTGTGCAGGGTCGGGTGGCTGTTTATAAACGACTTCCCTGGGAGCGCGCAGCACCGCGATCTTCTGGACACAGTGGAACACCAATCGTCATACGGGACCTCTGTATATAAACGGCCGAACGGTGGCAGTGCAGGGTCGGGTGGTCATTTATAAACGGCCTCCCCACCCCCTGCTTGTGCACGCTCCCTGGTAGCACGCAGCACTGCGATCCGGTGCCCGCTGTGTCCTCCAGACACCAGTGGAACACCAATCGTCGTACGGGACCTCTGTGCGAGGTCCCAATCGTCGTACGGGACCTCTGTGCGAGGTCCCGATCGTGTGATCACTAATTGGCCAATCAGTGATCACATGAAGAGTAGTAAGCAATGATGTCACTTCTGACATCATTGCTTACTACTAGTGAAATCTGTGAATGATCACAGAGGTCACATGGTACAGGGCTATTCACAACAGCCTCGTACCATGTGACAAGCTGTGGCCAATCACAGCTCTCACAGTATTTCTCAATGACTGCAAGAATGCAGCCAGAGAGGAGAAAGGATTGCTTTTACAGCCTTTATGGGTGTTAAAGCAATCAGTGTAAAAAAAAATATGGTGACACTGTACTGCTAGGGTGACAGTATGTTAAAAAAAAAAATATAAAAAAATAAAATAAAAACGTAAAAAAAGTTTTACAAAATTATAATGTTTGGTCAAAGTAATTTGGTTTTTTTTTTTTTTTTTTTTACTAAAAAGATAACTGAATAAATTTTGCCCAAGATTTAAGAAGAGAGATTATTTATTTGCAAAATTTCTGTCCAACCCCTGCACCACAGTATATTTCTGAGGAGTATGTCGTACTATCTAGGACAGGGTTGGGCAACTGTGGCCCTCCAGCTGTTGTAGAACTACAAGTCCCATGAGGCATTGCAAAACTGACAGTTACAAGCATGATTCCCAAAGGCAGAGGCATGATGGGACTTGTAGTTCAACAGCTGGAGGCCCTTCAGGTGTTGCAGAACTACAAGTCCCATGAGGCATTGCAAGGCTGACCATTACAAGCATGATTCCCAAAGGCAAAGGCATGATGGGACTTGAAGTTCCGCAACAGCTGGAGGGCCGCATGACTCTTTATTTGGGAATCGTACTTGTTACTGTCAATCTTGCAATGCCTCATGGGACTTGTAGTTTGGCAACAGCTGGAGGGCCGCCAGTTTGACACCCGTGATTTAGGAGGTCCTAGAGCAGTAGTGTATGTATATAGCTACACTTATTTTGGTGGGTTTTAAGTGAACCTATGGATCCCTTTTTAGCACTTCCATTCATACTTTTGCAGCATGATGCCTATTGCTGTACGGCAGCCTATTCCTTTTTAAATGGCCTGCCAACGCACCTCAACACTGCCAAAAACAGACATTTATTTTATTTATTACAGGTACTTATATAGTGCTGCCAATATATGCAACGTAATTGAACAGACACATCAGTCCCTAACCCTCAAGGGGCGTACAATCTAAGGTCCCTAACCCTCAAGGGGCGTACAATCTAAGGTCCCTAACCCTCAAGGGGCGTACAATCTAAGGCCCCTAACCCTCAAGGGGCGTACAATCTAGGGTCCCTAACCCTCAAGGGGCGTACAATCTAAGGTCCCTAACCCTCAAGGGGTGTACAATCTAAGGTCCCTAACCCTCAAGGGGCGTACAATCTAAGGTCCCTAACCCTCAAGGGGCGTACAATCTAAGGTCCCTAACCCTCAAGGGGCGTACAATCTAAGGTCCCCTAACCCTCAAGGGGCGTACAATCTAAGGCCCCTAACCCTCAAGGGGCGTACAATCTAAGGCCCCTAACCCTCAAGGGGCGTACAATCTAAGGCCCCTAACCCTCAAGGGGCGTACAATCTAAGGCCCCTAACCCTCAAGGGGCGTACAATCTAAGGCCCCTAACCCTCAAGGGGCGTACAATCTAAGGCCCCTAACCCTCAAGGGGCGTACAATCTAAGGCCCCTAACCCTCAAGGGGCGTACAATCTAAGGCCCCTAACCCTCAAGGGGCGTACAATCTAAGGCCCCTAACCCTCAAGGGGCGTACAATCTAAGGCCCCTAACCCTCAAGGGGCGTACAATCTAAGGCCCCTAACCCTCAAGGGGCGTACAATCTAAGGCCCCTAACTCTCACATTCATACATACACATACTAGGGACAATTTAGACAGGATCCAATTAACCTACCAGCATGTCTTTAGAGTGTTGGAGGAAACCGGAGTACCCGGAGGAAACCCACGCAAGCACAGGGAGAACATGCAAACTCCAGGCAGGTGGTGTCGTGGTTGGGATTTGAACCAACAACGACATTCTGACTCTGCTAGGCGGAAGTGCTAACCATTTAGCCACTGTGCTGCCCATACATAACCCACTGAAGAGAGCATGGCATGCAGCACCAAACACTGTATTAGCACGCCATTCAATGGAACTGTCATAGCACCACTACAGCAATGCATAGATTTGGGATAAAATGATCCCTGGCATAGGCGGTTATGTTCCTTTATAATTCAGATGATGACACTTACAGAAACGTTCATGCTCTTATAAGGCTGTGTGCGCATACTCTATTTTACAAACTACATAATACAGTGAAGGAAATGTGTATTTGCTCCCCTGCTGATGTTGAATGTTCGCCCCTCACAAAGAAATGATCGGTCTGAACATCGAATGTTTGGTGTATTGTAACACTGAGAGACAGAATACAACAACAAATTCAGCAGAAATGCGTCTAACAAATGATGACTGATCTGCATGTTCATGAGGGAAAGAAGGATTTGATCCCCTTCACAAAACATGACTTAGTACTTGGTGGCAAATCCCTTGTTGGCAATCACAGAGGTCAGTTTCCTGGAGTTGGCCCCCAGGTTCGCACACATCTCAGGAGGGATTTTGGCCCACTCCTCTTGTCAGATCCTCTCCAAGTCATTAAGGTTTGGTAGCTGATGTTTGGCAACTCGAACTTTCAGCTCCCTCCACAGATTTTCATTCAGCTTAAGGTCTGGAGACTGGCTAGACCACTGCAGGACTTAATGTGCTTCTTCTTGAGCCACTCCTTTGTTGCCTTGGCCGTGTGTTTTGGGTCATTGTCATGCTGGAACACCCATCCACGACCCATTTTCAATGCCCTGGCTGAGGGAAGAATGTTCTCACCCAGGATTTGATGGTACATTGCCCGTCCATCGTCCCTTTGATGTGGTGCAGTTGTACTGTCCCCTTAGCAGAATGTTTCCACCACCATGTTTCACAGTTGGGATGGTGTTCTTGGGGACATAGGCAGCATTTCCTCCTCCTCCAAACACGGTGAGTTGAGTTGATGCCAAAGAGCTGGATTTTGGTCTCATCTGACCACAACACTTCCCACCAGTCCTCCTCTGCATCATTCAGATGTTCAGTGGCAGACTTCAGACAGGCCTGGACATGGGCTTTCTTGAGCAGAGGGACCTTGCGGGCACTGCAGGATTTCAGTCCTTGTCGGCGTAGTGTGTTTACCAATTGTTTTCTTGGTGACTGTGGTCCCAGCTGCCTGGAGATCATTGACAAGATCCTCACGTGTAGTTCTGGGATGATTCCTCACTGTTCTCATGATCATTGACACTCCACGACGAGGTGAGATCTTGCATGGTGCACCAGACCTAGGGAGACTGACACTTGTTTTGTGTTTCTTCCCATTTGTGAATGATTGCACCAACTGTTGTCACCTTCTCACCAAGCTGCTTGGCCATAGTTTGGTAGCCCAGTCCAGCCTTGTGTAGGTCTACCATCTTGTCCCTGACATCCTTGGACAGCTCTTTGGTCTTTGCCATGGTGGAGAGTTTGGAATCTGATGGTTTGATTGCTCCTGTGGACAGGTGTCTTTTATACAGGTAACACAATGAGATTAGCAGCACTCCCTTTAAGAGACTGCTTCTAATCTCAGCTTGTTACCTGTATGAGAGACACCTGGGAGCCAGAAATCCTGCTGAATGATAGGGGATCAAATCCTTCTTTCCCTCATGAACATGCAGATCAGTCATCATTTGTTAGACGCATTTCTGCTGAATTTGTTGTTGTATTCTGTCTCTCAGTGTTACACCGAACATTCCATTGTTAGACCGATCATTTCTGTGTGAGGGGCGAACATTCCATTGTTAGACCGATCATTTCTGTGTGAGGGGCGAACATTCAACATCAGCCGGGGAGCAAATACTTATTTCCTTCACTGTACATACATGTAGAATGACCTATATTACACACCTGGAGTGTAGAGTACGGCGATGTTTGAAGTATTCCATCCAGCCCTGAGATAAATGTTCGGTTGCTTTGACACTTTAACATGAGCCCCGGGTTCATCAGAAAGTAACACGCATGGTGACCCCGGATACCGATTAATCATAGGTGGCAGCTGCAAGAAGGCCTTGTGGTTGACCCTAATTACTGCTCCCTTGGAACCTCTATGGAATGCTCCATGAAGGCCTGGCCTGTACAAGCCTGCCACACGCTCCAACTACACTAGTCCAGCTAAAGATAGAAATGCTCTGTCCTGAATACGTTCTGCTGTGTAAAATATATCTTCATTCAAGGCTGGACAAGTCGTCTCCCAAATGTCAGCTGCTGTGGCCGGACGGAGCACCCAGCAGTACTGATGTTAAAGGGCAGTATATTCCCAGGGACGAATGCTTGGAATGCGGACTGCTTGTGTCCCCGAGCGTTTCTCCTTGGGCGCATACTGCTCTAAAGCCGCTTGTCAACTTGTACCTACAGGTGAGCTTAGAATAAAGAGTACCTGTCTGTACGAAGAACATCTCCTAGACCTGGGCTTGATAAATTTGCTTTGAATTTAGGAGCCAGGTGAAAAAGTTAGGAGCCATGGTGGGGGGGGGGGGGGGAGTAGGACAACAGGTTGGGGTACCTTGGGAAGCACCAGTCCTCCCAACTCTCACCTGTTCAGTAGCTTCTCCTCCAGATGGAGAGATCTGGTGCCAGGAGGGATAGCTGTGCCTGTTTCCCATCTCCACCAGGATCTCCGGCAGCAGCCGCAACAAAAGAGCGAGAGGGGGCTCTCCTTCTTCTTCTTCTCCCTTCTTCTTCTTCTTCTTCCTTCTTCTTCCTTCTTCTTCCTTCTTCTTCCTTCTTCCTTCTTCTCTTCTTCTTCCTTCTTCTTCTCTCTTCTTCTTCCTTCTTCTTCTTCCTTCTTCTTCCTTCTTCTTCTTCTTCCTTCTTCTTCCTTCTTCTTTTTCCTTCTTCTTCCTTTCCTTCTTCCTCCTTCTTCTTCCTCCTTCTTCCTTCTTCTTCCTTCGTCTTCCTTCTTTCTTCCTTCTTCTTCCTTCGTTTCCTTCTTCCTTCTTCCTTCTTCCTTCTTGGCTTCTTCGTCTTCTCGGTCTTCCTTCTTCTTTTTCTTCCTTCGTCTTCTTCCTTCTCTTTCTTCTTCCTTCGTTCTTCTTCTTCGTCTTCCTTCTTCTTTTTTCTTTCTCTCTTCTTTCTTCTTTCTTTCTTCCTTCGTCTTCCTTCGTCTTCCTTCTTCTTCTTCTTCCTTCCTCCTTCCTTCTATTCTTCCTTCTTCGTCTTCCTTCTTCGTCTTCCTTCTCTTTCTTCTTCGTCTTCCTTCGTCTTCCTTCTTTCGTCTTTCTTCTTCTTCCTTCTTCGTCCTTCTTCTTCTTCTTCCTTCTTCGTCTTCTTCTTCTTCTTCCTCTTCTTTCTTCTTCTCTTCTTCTTCTTCTTCCTTCTTCTTCTTCTCTTCTTCTCCTTTCTTCCTCCTTCCTCTTTCGTCTTCTTCCTCTTCTTTCGTCTTCTTCTTCTTCTTCCTCCTTCTTGTTCTTTCCCTCCTCCGCTGGCACCGCATGGCGCACCCCGCTTAACAGCAGTCCCCGACTGCTCCCTGCATACATCAGGGATCCACCCACTGCTCCGCGCTCCTCTGCATCATGGCAGCCAGTCCACTCTGACAGTATCTGCCCTGGTTGGCGGCCGGCCCCTCTACTTGTGTATGGGCCATCCCCTCCTCCTGATGGCGGCCCTGCCGGCGGTGGGGGGGGGGGGGGCTGGCAGGCTGGCAGGTGCCAGGACATGGTTTATGGGCAGCCTGTTTGCCCGGCCCTGTCCTAAACATACACCGGTTAGGAAATATTCACTATTTCCGCAGTCGGTGACGTCGCCAGCGCATGCGCACTGTGCTCCGAAGGGATGGAATGCCACCTCTTAACCCAAGGTTCACATCT